TCTCTCTCTCTCTCTCTCTCTTACGTCAACTAAACTCCTTTGAAGCAACACCAACCTGCATCCAAAGCTCTAGAACCACAAGCACTCATGCCACAGCCAAGCGGATGCATGAATGAAAGGGCCTGGCCTAGGGTCCATGTCGCCATGTAGTTTATGTTGGCCCCGTAAGTACAGCTATGTATGTGTGTATATATATACACACATACGTATATATATATATACATATATATACACACACATACACACAGGAATCCTGTTGAGTCCAACGTATATACCATACAAGTGCGTCGACCCTTAGGATACACGCCCTGTAGCCGAGGCTGGCAACGTGACTATCGCTGCGTGGGCGCGCTGAGAAGCCTTCGAAAGCCGGACATAGCGGCTGCACAAGCACCCAACATGAGCAAAACGAGGAGCCTACATGGTGTACGCTCTAGGAAACCCTTCAACTTTGATTCAAGAGGACATGTGCAGGACAAGATCGAGGAGGCTCCAGTCTATGCAGTACAATGAAGCCGCGATCTAGGCCAGTGCTCTTCAACCATGCACGGGACCTTATGATCTCCATAGGGTTGAGTTTTTGGGTCAGCAGCTGCGCAGTTTCAGGGGGTTCTACCTGTACCTGATAACCTTACTTTCTAAAACCTATTGATTGTAGAGTAAAGATCCACCCTAACAATGACCCCACCAACAAGCAGGTCATAGCAGGTGAAGGGAGAACCGAAACTCCATCAGGGTTGCGGGTTGGGGATCGACGGCTCGCAGATGCAAGCGGCCGAAGTTCAAGAGAAGGACTTCCCGTGCGACCATCCAACCCAAAGAAGAGCGAACTCGCCTCTAATTTTATCGCCGAACCTTTAATCATAACCTATCGTTGCCTTCATTCTTGTGGGGGCCAGAAGCTACTGCAGCCTCTTTCTGGTAGGACCCATAACCTACCACCGCACTTCTTCTTTGCAGAACCAGTACGACTTTATCCTGTGTTTGTTTGGCGGGACGTACTTCAGGTATAGGGTACAGAATTACCGCACGAATCGTTCTATTAGATGATAGTTTGAAGCGACCCCTGTCAAAGAGGTCCCGAAACCCATAACGTCCCTAAACCCATAACCCCCCAGGTGCCTACCATATGGAGTACTAGAGCCCCTAGGGCCCCTTTGTAGCAGGTACCTGGGGGGCTTAGGGAACCCTAAACCCAACAGCTGAGGCCAGGACTTGACCAGGCCTCAGCTAGTCGAGGCTTTCTGAGCCTTGACTACTCCTCCCAAGTAGGAGCCGCTGACCCACAGGCCCCTAAGTAGTTGCTTTTCATTTAGAATCCTATAAGGTAATCCCAAAAAGGAACTACTTAGGGGCCTATGGGTACGAATGATCCCTACTACAGTTTTCTGATTAGCGCAGATTTCGGGATGTTGGAATTTCGGATTGGATGCTCGAGCCTCTTGATCTTTCAGATTTGGACAACTTGTTTCGTCAGAACTAAGTAGAGTCTTGGACCCGTTTGCAACACGTCAGGTTAGGTGCTGGAGAAAAAGTCTCTGTAAACGGACTCATAGACTGTTGGAACATTTAAAGTTTGGGGGCCAGCGGCTGTGGGAAACAGAAATCGAGTCATGCATTATCTTCAGACTGCTTGACTTGTCAAGTGCCGCAAACCCTGCATGACCTTGCGGGCAAATTTTGGAACGGAACACCCTGCGAGCATGCGCGGGAACGACGTTGCGCCTACAACATGGTTCTGCTTTCATTGGCAGGCGGAGCGGTCACCATGGCAGTGGTCGTGGTCGTGGAGTTTTTCCACCTGGGCGGTTTACGCACCGCTCAACTCGAAAACCTGCAATGAGGAAGAAACAGGCCTCATGTAGGCCGAACAATCCTCACATGATGAACTAGGGACCCTCCTGCGAATTCTCGGGCTGGTCTTAATAAGCTTCCACGCGGCCAGATTTTGATCCGAGGCCGTCGGCGGACAGCTGCTATTGTCGTGGTCGTGGACGTGGTCGACGTCTCATTTGACAGCTTGGCTGCCTCAATAGTATGAGTTTGAGGCTGAAGGGAGGTAACACCAGTATAACTTTCGCTTCATAGTCTGTATGTATGCATGAATGCATAAATACATGCATACGAGCAACATACATACGCCATATCACATCTGTCTGTATGTATGCATGCATAAGTACTTGCACACTTATAAACAAACGAGCAAACAAGCAAATAAGCAAACAAGCGATCACACAAACAAGCGAGCAAGCAAGCAAACAACCAAGTCCACAAACACAAGTTCATTCGTGCGTACATGCATACATGCTCACCTACATGCAGGCATACACTCGCAAACATGCGTACATGCATACATACATAAATACATACATACTCACATACATGCATGCATGCATACATACCTACATACGTACATCATACAGTCATACAGACATACATCCAGACATACCTGCATGCACACAGGCTCTTGCAGGCTGGTCTGGCACGTACACTTGGAACTTTCAACATGAGCTCTAGCACCGGGAATGTGGAGATTGATCCTCCGCGATCCGAAGTGACAACTTGGTGGTTCCCGAAATATGTAGAGGATAGAAGCACCCAGGAATCCCTGATCTAATTATTCAGGCTCCGGCCTTAAGCCTTGTCGAAGCCAAAGTTGTTAGGTTGCGACACCTGCGATATATGGCATGACCTTGAGCAGTAGGTCGGTGGATCGTATGGTATACTTTGGACTTTGGACCAAAACCCAAGTTGCGAAGCCCCGCTGCGCTTCTGCATCACACTGCCAGAAGCCTGGGCTTCTCTCTGCCGATTCTGGGCGTAGTTTAGGGTTTAGGGTTTAGAGGTTTAGCGTTTAGGGTTAAGAGTTCAGGGGCTCAGAGGTCAGGGCTAGCAGCGGCTAGCGTTTGAGAAAGCTTACGGTCCATGATTCTACTGAGGTGAATCAAGCCGCTCCACCTTCGACCGTAGGCACAGACAATATCAGGCACAAACGCGGGGAGGGCTTACAACCGAGGCTACGTTGATTTGGCTTCAGCGCGGTGGAGACGCAGACAAGATGATCGACCGATCTCGCTCGAGTGGCGCCAGTGTGAGGAGGACGGTCCGTTGGAGAAAAAATAGAGCTGCAAATGAGTGCGGAAGCTCAGAAAGCTCAAGGTGTTGGAAAGACCCAACAACAAGTTATGCATGCAAAGCCTATCCAAAAAAATATACAAACTAATGCAACGACTAATTAGGTATCATACAAACCCATCCGTCAATCGGTCTAAATATACCTGCCTGCAGAACTGCAGAACTATGCAACTTTGTAACTATATGCCATGCGTGCATGTATGTAGGCACCGATAGACAGGGAAGGGAGGATTGGTGTAGATTGAGGATTCTAGAGTGTGGTTATGTGTGGTTCGCTGCAGTTCCCCAAAAGGCTATGTCGAGCCTGCGTGTTCGAAACTAGCGAAATCCTGCCTTGTGGGGAAGCTCGAGGCTTGAAGCAAACGAGTCGACTTGAAAGTGTTTCTATGCGGCAGCATGGCAGTAGTTTTTGGGCCTTACAAGAAGATTAGAAGTTCTGGTAGCCGCCGGATTCGTGCTGCCTGCCGTCGGAATCCTCCGTGGGTAGATTGGGACTGCAGAAACCAGAAGACTATGTGTTGAGCAAAAGCTGCTACACGGATGTACGAAGCACCGAATGTATAGAATGGGTGTTACAGTAGGGCACTTTGGACAAGTAGCCCAGGAGTACCTGTCCATCTAACCATGACCTGCAGAAGTACGTGGTTTCTCGCTGAATTTCACCATGATGCGCTCCGACGCCTTTGTCATTGTCACGCCACGAAAGTTGATGTGCAAGCCTCGGTCTCACACATGCTCAAGGACATAGCTTGAAGCACAGAGAGTTTAGAAGGGTTATGAACCACCGCATGAACTGTTTTAATACTTTGCGGATCCTCTCATGGTCACGGGCCACTCACTGGGCAAAAGTGGCGGCCACATGAAACTCACACATGTACGTTGCTCGGCAGCCAGCGAAGAGTGTGGTATGGTCGCTCTGAGATTTGCGCGGCCGTCGTTTCAGTGAGAGTGAGAAGAATGAATGCGCACTACCCCCGAACGTCAAAAGCATGCACATTACTTCCCGAAGCTCCACATCCTGCGTCAAGTAACCATAAACCTCGGCAAACCTGGAACAGCCAGTTTTGAGTTGTAATAGATGGGAACCCTGCAGACTCACATGAACCTTACATCCACCACTCCAACACACAGACCTGAGCCCGAACGCCAAGAAACCCTGAACGCTACCCTAGCTAACTGCACTGCAAGCATCAGCGCAGGACTGACTACGCATGATATGAAGCCTCTGTTCCAAGGAGGCCTTGGGTTTAAATAGGGTTCCATTGTAATTAACTACCTGTAATCTACCTTTTGTGAGGAACTATGTAAAGACACCATGGTACAGGGTATGTTTTTCACATTATAACTACGGGGTTTAGGAGTTTGGGGTGTTCGAAATCTTTGGGTCCTTTGCGCGAGATGCTCCTGGGCTTGCAAAGAGCGTGGCATTCAGGGTGCAGAGGCCGCCATAAACTTGCGTTCCCCATGCCACCCGTGAAAAACGCAGTCCGCTACACCAACTAGCAGCTGCCTCTGGGTTCATGATGACTTCACTGCGGACTCGTTGCAAGGACTGCGCGGCGGTTGTGGCATGACAAGAGCCGAACAACAAACACGGGTTGGTAGCCTTGTGGGTTACTCGGTGGATTACGATCTAGGGTGTTGGGGTCTGAGATTGAGGCGGTGTCGGAACTGGGGCTGCTGGTGGTTATAAGTGTCCGTACCCTAAACCCCTAGATACCCCTAGAAAACCCTGTAACACCCTTGGAGTACATGTTATAAATTAAGTTCTACAAACAGTGCCCTGTAGTCCAAGACACCAAGGACATCCATCGCGCGGTGGGACATGTGGATGGCCACCGTGAACTTCCGTATTGTTGCCTTCCACGAGTACTGCTACTGCTGACTCCTCCTCCTCCTCTCCTCCTCGTCCTACTACTACTGTTACTACTTCTTCTTCTTTTACTACTACTACTACTACTACTACTACTACTACTAGTAGTTGAGGTGTCGGAGCTCGCTGGAGGACTCTCCAGGCGAGGCATGTGTCTACGACGGTTGATGATATAAATCCTGCATTACTCATAATATAGAATATACCATAATTCCCATAGCTTATGGTCCTTGACGTAATGCAGGATTTCGATCATCAACAGTAGTGCAGGTTGAAGGCTTAGCGCGCCAGTGGGTATGCCTGTATTGCAGGGTTTGACCATTGACAGCCGGAGTGTACGGCTAGTTCTTGAAATGCACATGTATCGGGGTAGTTCTGAATCTCAACAACAAGCAAAATCCCAAAGCTTTCAGATGTTCTGTCGGCCTTGAGCTGAAGGAGCAGGCTAGCGGCTTTAATTTTCCTTGTAGTACTACAGGGTCCCAATGATGAGAACCAGGCTTCGGGAGTCCACGTCAGTATATCTGAACAGGAACTCAAAGGGAATGTTAGTATAATTAAGTCATATAAACAGTCTCCATGATCGTGTGTTAGCCCCACTTCGGTACGAGCACTGGTACTAGCACCAGTCGTAGCAGCAGTAGCATTAGTAGTTGTAGCAGCAGCAGCTAAAGTCCTATATGTACCTCACATACCCAAAAACCCCAAAGTCCAAAATCGTCCAAAATCCTTCAAACTCCAACGCCCAGAACACCCGAGATTCTGAACCTTAAACATCAACAGACTTCCATGCAGAAAGCTCGAACCCCAAACTCTCCGAAAGCCAAAACCTGAAAAGATCCACATCTCGCCCCACTCCACAAAAAAAAAAACATGCCCCGGAAACCACCCAAAACTGTCATCCGTGTTGCATATAATCATTGCGAAGCACCCCAGAGTCCAAAAAAGGGTTCTTACGAGAACTACGGTTGATGATATGAATCCTGCATGACCTTGAGGGCCCTAAACTATGGGAATTATGGCATATTCCTTATTGTGGATAATGCAAGATTTATATCATCAACCGTATGTCCCCTAAACCCACGTCCAGCTGCACAGTCGGTGCTTTTCACTTTCGGTCCCCAGTCCTGGCTAGGGTTCCTTCAAAGGGTTCTACAAGGGCGTTTTGTGAAGGGCTCCATAAACAAGGCCAGGTGTCAAGGGCTCTCTAAGAGTTTGGGGCTTAGGGGTTTAAGGTTTACCTGAAATCCCGAATAACCTGCCGTTGTAAGGACTTATACAGGGAAATGGAAAAAAAAAACATGACTTAGGGTAGTATGGGGCGCTTAGGGTGTTTTGATATTGTGCTCAGGGCGGTTTAGGGGCTTCACAAGAGTTTACATCAACGCTTGAAAAAAGGATTAGCGTCAGAGTTTGCCACAATCCCACTCCCCAACTACTCAACGAGAGACCCTTGGCCCAAAGGCCTTAGTATCACCCATCTGGTTGTGTTTTCAACCATTTCCAGACATTTGAGTTGCGTTTTTGCCACTCTTGTTGCATTTACACCCATCTAGTTGTAATTCACCTTATTCTCNNGGGGGGGGGGGGGGGACTCTAGGTTGTAGGGTGTGGTGTTTCAGGCTCGGGGCTTCAGCGCAGCTTTCTTAGAAGCCTCCGAGCCCCCTTAGTAAAGGCCTGCAAGAGCTCACATTGTCGACGGATCTTCCACATTCCCTCAAGTCAGGATCACTAGACCTCAGATTTTGGCCGGTTTATTACTTCCAGGGTCCCTCAGGGGCCTCGATTTACACATCAAAGACCTGAGAAGGCCGAACACAAGCGTCTGTTGAAGCCCTTGACCCTGCCACTCTGAAACCCCGATACCCTGAAGCCTCGCATTTAGCGTGTAGTGTTGTGTCTCGAAGTTCCCACCCACCCAAACCAAAAAAGCCAAACACTTGAATCCTGTCGACCGCACAGCTCGAAACCAGGAATCCTGGAATCCCTCAGGCTCGAAGCTGGGCCCTGCAACAAACCCAGAATCTGCATTACTCAGAGAGCCCCCGAACCGTTGAACAAGTAGGTAAACCCCAAACCCTGAACCCTTTGCGAGCAAGAACTGCAACGCACTGATCGGCTCTAAGTCCCAAACTCCAACTCCTCAACCCCCGGAGTGCTCCTCGCCGTCACCGACGTAGTTCACGAAGATCATGGGTTGGGGGTTCCATGACCGGAGCTCCTCGGACTGGCTTCTTCTTCGGGAACTCAATGTGAGCTTATGGGGTTTAGGGTTTAGGG